TTTCAGTGTCCATAAGTTTTATTGGACTAGAGCCATGCTCATTTGTTTGCATATTGTAGTTTTCAACTACAACAGCAAGGTTGAATAGTTGCAACAGTGACTGTGGGCTCCATAAAGCTTAAAATATTTGCTAACAGGGCTTCTACAGAAAAAGTTTTGCCAACAAACTTGATTTAACTCGGCTCTGAATTTTCCCTTTATTTCCAAACGCCCACAAAGTCTACAAAAACTGCAACTTAGAAGTGGCCAACACGGACATTTTATCCCATATGTCAGAGCCCCAATCTGTCCCTGTCCATGTTCTAACCTGAGCATAGGAGGTCTTCTTTTGTTGGGAGTTTAACCTTCTTTGGAGGTTGGTAATTCTGATCTTTATGTCCAGGGTCTGATCCTGAGCTTTTTCTCCCCTTCTGCAGGAGACCGCTTTGTAAGCTGGCAGTGTAAGGCGCTGGTTAGGAAGCCCGTGGCTTTCTCACTCAGCTGTCTTTTGGTGATTAGTCACGCCCAGCTTTTTATCAGTTTCTGGTGGGTCAATCAAGCTTAGCAGTAGCCACCTGATTTTATTATCCTTTCAGTCCCTATTTCTCCCATAATCTCAAACATCTGATATATCACATCAGCTAATACCTTCCTTTCTACCACTAAACCATGCCAGTTGATCACCAATGAAAGTTTTAGCGATTAGACCAATTCCTTGCTATCTGTGCTTCATCTATTACCAACCTGGGGTCCTCACTGAAGGAAGGGTGGTGAGCGAACCAGCCTGGAAGCCCCATATCAGTGGCCTCTTTCTGGGACCATACTTGGTTAGAGTTGCCAGATTTAGCAACTATTAATACAATACTCCCAGTTAAATTTGAATTTTAAATAAATACTTTTTAGTATTTTTCATGCAATATCTGGGACATAGTTTTACTATAATTTTTCTGTCCATTTGAAATTAAAATGTTGCTGAACATCCTGTATTTTATGTGGCAATTCTACAACAGGTTGGGTTCCCTGGGAAGCAAACTCTGAGATGGAGTTTAGCCAGCAGGATGTCATTAAGAAGATCCCTTAGGATCAACATCTGTGGAAGGGAGGTGCCAGAAGCAGGAAGGACAGAGAAAGTCAATCTGCAATACAGGCTCAGTGACAGACTTGGCTGAACCATGGGGTACTCTGGCACTAGAATTGCCTTTTAGAGTAATAACAAAGTGGGCTGAGATGTCCAGACCTTTACACTCTCACACTGATCAGTCCTTGGATGATGGGGCGTGTCCATGGGCAAAGTGGCTCCTTGCAGCTCTGGCCATTTCCGTAGAGGCTGACAGCACTTCCAGCACCAAAAGCAAAATGTCTTTTCTGAAGTGGAATCCAAGTCGTGAGTGCATCAGAGTCCACTGCATTTGTGGAGAGGATTTAAACATCACGCAGAGAGAAGGTGTGATATCTAAGGACTTTCCCACTTGGGCATGATTGAGTGAAATCATGTGTGCAGATTACCCAGAAGACATCACGGCATAGAGACCATGAGCACCAAGTGGCAGCTACTTTGATGTTTCTAAAGCATCTACAAGTAACAAGTAGTGCTGGGCTTGGGCGTGTGTATCTGCTCCAGAAGGTGAGGCTGGGCATTCCCAAGTGATGGAACTTCTCTGCAAGACGAGGCTGGGTTCAGCATATTTCTCTAGATACAGCTTTTTAAAAAGAAGTGCCATAAAAAGTGTTCAAAGTTAATTATTTCCGCTTTCCGGTTATAAGAACCAAATCCTATCTCTGGAAGCGGTAGGATGAGGTGGAAAACATAAAGTCAGGAGCCGTGTTTCCTCTTGACTCTGGCACTTAGGCTGCATGTGTGGTGAGTTAGTCATGCATCTTCTCTGGTCTCACTTTCCTAGACTTTAAAATGAGAGGGGGATCGAGTGTTCTGAAGGGTCCCAACCAGTGTTGACATTTTATCCTGCAGTTGTGGATGTGGCCTCTGGGCAAGCAGCTTGGGACACTGACAGTGCCACATTGCTAGACACAAGAATCTGATTTCAGAAGTAGTTTAAACCACTTCTTTATTAAAACTTAACTCAGTTGTTGAGTTTGGTCGCAGCAGAGTGTCTGGAGGAAACTGTAGTGGGACCGAAAGACCAATCTGATCCTCATTTAAAATCTTTACAGTGAATAGATATAATATTAGATATCTTAAAATCACAGGCACGGTCTTAAAATCACACCCTTAAAGGGGCAAGACTATTTTCTCCTTGGACTTTTCTTTTTGCTTTGTAATATTTCAATTACAAAAGTCCAGTAACAGGCACTTCTAGGGAAGGTTATAAAGAAGCTCCATAGGTCAAGGTAACATGTACTTGGACTATTTTCTCATTATTTGGGGACAGTTTTATGTAAATTCATTGTATAACTAAGGGACCAGTTTTTTGGCGTTGTGACAGTGTTACCTGATCTACCAGGTCCTTGCTCTCAGCCCATGGAAACTATTCACATGGTGTCCCTATTTCTGAAGCCCTAGATAAGGCCATAAGAACAACAGGGTCACTCTGGTTCCCTGCAGGGAGGAACGATAAAAGTAACAATTATGATTTGTCAAGAATTGTACAATTATCAGAGCATTTCACATAGAAAAGTGAAGGGAAGTAAATACTATTATTATCCATGTGTTATGGATGAAACACAGGCTCTGAGGGGTTAAGAGACTTGCTCAAATTCACACAAATCCAGTTTTAAATTTTTGTTCTTTTCATCTTTAGCCTCAAGTATTATGTCCTCAGTTGCCTTCCCCAAGCTGATGAATTGGCAAATCTTTATTGCATTTATGTCTATGTATTACCCAGTTCTAGTACTAGATTTCCATTGTTCGTGTTTTCTTATAGAGGAAAGACAGTCCATATCAACAATATTTCAGCGTTGTATTCAGAGTGCGCTAGCAAACTGAGAGCTTCCACAAAGGAGCCACCAGTATAATGCTACCACAATATTGTTTTATATTGTTTTTTCTTTTAAATGTTACATATAAATTAACAAGAGGTAAAAACAACAACACACTTGTTTCAACATGTGATTGTGCTCAGCAATGATTGTTTTATTTGGCTTGTTAAATTACAACCAAAAAGACATTCATCATTATCATTTGTTGTTCAGAATCTGTGCAGGTTGGAAATTATGGCTCTTAAAACTGTGAAACACAAGCCCACAGCATCTGGATGTAAATGAAAAGCCCTATCACTCACGTCTCCTTCACTTGACATCAGATGATCATACCCAAAATGTAGTCTGTGTGACTGGGAGATGACACCTGATTCATCAAGAATTGTACTGTTTCATTTGACTTTTCACCTCGTGACAGTTAAGATGCCTAAGATCAGGACTCCTCATCTTAAAACTTCCACCCCTGAACATTTTCTGCCATAGCACCTGTGCCTAACGATAACTTGAAACCAGAACCACCTGCTTGGCTTCAAAAGGCCACCTTATCAGTTGAAAGAAAATGCTTTGATGTAGCGTCTGGCCTAGCTTTGAGGTTGGGAGGGATGGTTTTATTTACTTTCCAGTGGGAAGCTATCTACTTTGGATTAAAGAAGAATTAGAGAAGTATCTGGTTTGATTATGACATCAGAGGTGCAGATATTTGGAAAGTGCTTTAGAGCAACTTTGATTATAAGTGAGAAGGTAAACTCCTAAAACAGTATCTTGACTTAAAAACATTAGATTGTACACTTTATTTTAGCAGTGAGCCCAAATTTTTTTTTTAAAAATCAATGTTTACAAGAATAAAATCTCAATTCTTTTCACTTTTAAAGACAATCAGATAAGATGTCCCACTGCCACTAAACACTGATCAAACTCAGTTGTCCTTACATTAGCATTACTCTGCCATAGCAAGAAAAAAGAAAAAAAAGTCCCAGTATCAGCTTCTCCAACAGTGAGCATATGATTCCTTACTCACAAGTAAGGGAGCCAAGATAGCTCAGATGTCAAGACTAAGGTTTCTAAAGCGTTTTTCTAAAAGGAACGTGTGCTAATGAATAACCTCCTTTGATTACTACCATAGATACAATGAGTATTGTATATATTACCATTACTATGAAACTAGATTCCTATCCTGGTCTCCTGTGTTCAGCAACAGCAAAATATATATTTAAATACTTTAAAAGAACACCAGCATTCATAGACATATCAGTCTTGAACATGAGACTCTTTGTTAGAGAACGTGAATCTGAAAAGAGTTATTTTTTAAAAGCCAGGGTGATGTGGCACAACCATTCTAATGAAAAGGTAGGGGGAGAAGTTTCAAATACTCATCATATTGGGAACACAACAAACAAGTCACTAACAGCTGCCTGGGGACTTTTAGAAGAGCAGGGCGATTTGATTATTTAAATCTGTACATCCCCTACGTTTTATTTACTTATATTTTACTTTCTAGAGACGAGGTCTGTCTAGGCTTGTCTCGAGCTCCTGTCCTCAAATGATCCTCCCACTTCTACCTCCCGAGTAGCTGGGATTACAGTTACGTGCCACCAGGCCTGGCTTATCCCAAGTTTTAAAATACTGCTGTGAATAATGTATTGAACTAGAGCCACTGAGAATGAATTTGGTCCCAGAGAAGAAGTTTTGGAATACACACAAATTGGGGCAAGTTGCTGAAAAATCTTTACATGAGATTTGCCCTGGTTCCCCTTCCTGGCTGCAGAGTCCCAGGAACTTTTCCAGCTTCTTCCCTATTCGCAGTGGCCCTTCCAGGACATAGCACTGGGCTGAAAGATGTTTAAAGAAGTGAGCTGGCAGAAAATAGGCAGATTTAAGAGCATTTAGGAACAAGTTCAACTGGATTCTCTCCTGGCATCCAAGGAGACTAGATCACATCCTCTAAAGCTATGTTAGAGAAAGAACAGCCCCTAACTGGCCTTTGTGGAGGATACTTCATCTTATCACCCTTCCCTTCTACCCAAAGGCACATCACATCCTATGTGGCTTCTTAGTCTAGAACAAAACAAAACAGAGTCTGGTTCTGATTTTTTCAAGAATCAGGCTCACTTTGTATTCTTTATCAGGAGTCAGCAGCATTTTTCCATAGAGGGCTAGCTAGCCAATATTTGAGGCACTGTGGGGCCACACACTCCTTGTTGCAATAACTCGACTCTGCTGTTGCAGAGCAAAAGCAGTCACAGGCCATACTGCATAAACAAATGAGTGTGGCTGTGCTCAGTAAAACTGTATTTACAAAAACAGGCAATGGACTGACTCTGGCCCAGTTCTACACAATAACCGCAAATGGCGCCTCTCTTTTGAACACTGCAAAGTGCTTCCCATGGTTCCAGCCAGATTAGTGTCTACCTACATAGCATTTAGTACTTTGATACTGGATCCACAGAAGAAGCATAAGAAGTCAGAGTGACCTGAGGACTTGGTGTTCATGATCCACAGCTACAAATCAGCATGATCAGAAACTGGGGGGAACCTGCAAGATTGTGATTCTGTTTTATTAAGAAACGTGGGCCAGGCACAGTGGCTTATGCCTGTAATCCCAGCAGTGGCAGACCAAGGCAGGAGGATCACTTGAGCCCCAGGAGTTTGAGACCAGCCTGTGAAACATAGCAAGACTCTCTCTATTTAGAAAAAGAAAACAACAACAACAAAAAATATCTTATTAAAAAAAAAACAAACCTGAGCATGCAGCTGTTGCTGGATTTTGCTAATCTCAGAGCTGCCCAATCAGCAGCTGAGGGTAATGATTATTCTGTGGTGGCAGGTGCAGATGCAAAGAAATGCAATAAATTATGGATAGTGTGATACTTTAGATGTCTTAAAGAGTCAATGCATTTTTTCAAAGAACAAGATATAAGTCAACACTGAGGGATTCACTACTCAAGCCACTGGACTTATCAATTCAAAGTTAAATTTGGTCAGCATGTGGCTAAAAAACTAAACAACAGAAGCAGATACATAAAAGTTGTGAGGATAGCAGCAGCCAAGAGTCACCAAATTTCCTACAGGTAAAAAAATCTTACCGATCACCTTAGCCAGCTGATTCAGATGACTAACGGGGAAACTAAGGCCCAAGGAGAAAGAGGTAACTTGCCAAGCAAATTGTGGAGACATCAACAAATCTCAGTCATTTCAACTTTCAATCTGTTGCAATTTCACTAAGGGGGGCTCACTGACCATATAAACGCTTACGTCACAAGTTTATGTTCTAAATATCTGGCTGCCCTTAAAAAGACAAGTTTCCTTGAGACAACTGGTCCCATAAAACACCTGAAATTTGCTGAAGGGAGCAGAATGCAGTCCATCAATGATTTAAGGTAGTTGACAAAAACTGCAAAGGATAAAGCATTAAATGGCCATCTTCCCATGAATATAAATACTTATCTCTCATGTTGTATGCTAACATGGCAAGAACAGACTGGGAAGTTCTCAAATCAAAGTTTGCATTGATCTGTTTCCCTCCTAACAAATCAAAGGCAAATGTGACTCTCATATCTTTGGTGTCTGTGACATAGAGGATTCCTTGGGCAATGAAGGCATTGCCGGCCTTGGATTTGGGGTACGTGGTATTGATGTGCTGCACCACTGAGAATGTCCTCTCATCTAGCTGTGCTACAAGAATGCTTGAGCCATCCACACTTGATGCATAGATAATCCAAAGGCCCTTTTCATCTACAGCTAGATTGAAGTACGTCTTGGAATTTGCAAAAAGGTATTTTCGATCAAAATACAAAGCATTTTCAAGCTTCAGAGTTTGAGATGTTTTCTTGCCAAATTCAAATCTGAAATATGCAAACAAAAAAAAGGAGACATGAGTCACTGTTTCTGTGGACGGAGGTGGCTGATCAGGCTCCTCTATTAAACTGAGTTAGTGGGTCTAGGGTAAGGGCTGGGGTTTTGCATTTTTTACAAGCTCCCGGGTAATGCCTGTTCTGCTGGTCCTTGGACAATGCTGTGAGCAGTGAGAGCATAAGAGGTGATAATTGGCTGTGCTAGCAGAGGCAACAGGGAGACAGTGGTGTGGTGTTGAAGAGAATACTCCCCACGGTCAGAATGAATTCGCATCTAGTGACCATTTACTAGCCATGTGACCCCCAGAAAATTACTTCACCTCACTAATGCTCAGATGATTGCTGACCTCCTGAAATGCCCCCTCAAAGATTTTTAGAGCTGCACGGGGGCTGTAAAAGAGGATATAGTCCAATCTTTTCATTTTATAAGCAAAAAATGAGAAGTGACTGGCCCATGAATACAAGTAAGAGGCAGAGCCGGAGGTGGAACTTAGGGTTTCTAAGTGTGGGAGTTGTTCCTTTACTCCTTGCTGAAATTAAAAAAAAAAAAAAAAAAAAAAAAAGGTTTTACAGCCAGCTAAGAAGAAAGTCACCAGCTGAGAAGGGCTGCTGCAAAGTCATGACTGTGAAGCCCATTTTCTTGTCAAGTAAGTGGCTGGACACCTTAAGCTATGGCATGAAATCTCATGCACCTTAGCTCCTGGAGGCGATCTGATTGGACAGATTCCAACTCTAGGCTGTATCATAAAAGTGAATTATAATTCAAAAGGTACCTAACTCCAGGAATGGAAGTTCAGGAACATAAGGCTAAACGAAAACACCAGAGGGTGCCATTGAGCAGCAGAAGAAACATGAAATGTGTGAGTCTGTGGATATGCATTTGATCCTAACGGACTTGAAATCTATTAAGAAACCATGAAGAAACTAGAGAGGAGTGAGGCTTGGGAAGGTCCCTGCCCATCTTAGTTCACAGGAATTCTCCTTCCTCTGAATACCTGGGGTTCAGTGCTGCCATTTGTCCCTGTCTGGTCCTGATACCTCACAGCTGCATTCCTTGGTGAGGCCCATCTCTCCCAGCCATAGCAGGGTCGAATTCAGCTCTGCCTCTCCATCAGGTCCAGACTCGTGGCCTGGCATACAGCAGTACAGGCCTCCTAACCACTGCGTCCAAACTTAGCCTTCTTAGAAGACACACCTCCTTAAAGAGGCCAATTCTCACTGTGGGGCTTATCTGCCACAGAACTCCCCCTGACCCTACCCGTGTGGCAATAGCCCTATATAACATGGCAGCAGGGAACCACAAGATTCAACAAGAAGCATCGGAGGAAAGAGGGTGTCTTGAGAGCAAGGACTGCTGAGCAAGTGGTAGGTCACTTGCCTTTTTCTGCTAGCACAAGACTGCCCAAAAGCATCAGCCAGGGAGGTGTAGAGATGATGGGGGTGTCACGTAGAGGGGAGTGAGAAGCAAAGGAGGGAATGCTTCCTGCCACGGCTGACGCCAATGTCCGATGTGTCTGTGGATGGAGGTGGTTTACTAGGCTTCTCTATTAAACTGAGTTAGCGGGTCTGTGGTAAGTGTTGTGTTTAGTGATGTGTCTGATCAAATTGCACACTACACTGGGAAACTTGCCCTATTCTAACCTGAGCATTCAAATGCCAAAGGTTGTTAAAGCTGGACCCCACTAAGGATAGGAGAAGGATGAGGGAAAGAGAAAGGACCATCTTCCCCCATCTTGTTTGGAATGAGTAGGACTGTGGCATTCATAATACTGGGTTTACTGTTTCAGATAGGGAAACAGCTAGAAGGACTCATAGTCTCTAGTCCATCATTTTAGTTGAGGACAGGGAGACACAGGAAGTGCTGTCTTTTGTCCAAGGCCATAGAGAAAGCAGAAGAGCTGGACCCAGAAACCAGGTGTCCTGGCTTTCGGTTCATTGCTCTCTTGATTTGCCCAAGATGACCTGCTTCTGCCTCAAAAGGCCAGAGCTTGATTTCCTCTTCTTGAACCATAAAGACAGAACTTCAGCAATTCTTGTGGGGAAGGCTCAGGGGCTGCACTGGCAGTGACTACCCAGGTGACCCTCCTCCCTTCCCTGTGGGAGAGCAGAGAGGGGCCTGGGAGGACTCCATCAGGATGACACATGGATCTGAAGGCAGAGACGCCTGACTTGGGGTTCAGTCCCCAGTCTTCAATGATCTCAGCTGTGACATGAAATTCCTCACACCCAAAGTTTGCCAAAACAAAACTTTATCAGGGAGTAGCAGCACATTCCAGCAGAGAGAGAGCTCTGAGTTTCCGCTGCTTCTCTCTCAGAGGATGAGGAAGCTGCGACCATCACCCCACTCCAGGTCGACTTCTCCCTGGCTCTGACCTTCCTTGGGGTATCCAGACCAGGAACAAATGCAGACCCCAGGCAGGGGCTGGGCCATGGGGCTCACTAATGTACCCTGTGATTCATTCATCAGTAAGCCCTGATTGACCTCTGTGTGTCAGCTCTAGGGACACAAAGATGATGAAAATGCAGTCCCTACCCCTAATTGCTCACAAAAGCACCACAGCACAGGTGCTGTATGAGAGGCATGAGAAGGTGACGTGGTCCAGAGTGACTCACCTCACTATGGTGCTGGAACCTCCTTTGTGGTAGTAGAGAGAGTTGTTGTGAACAGCGTGTCCACAGCCATGGAAATAATACGGGAGGTGGATGAAGGTGTAACTGCCATTCAGAAGAGAGGGCTGGTCCTTGAATTCCTTCACCATGATGCCTGTAGGAGCGAAGCCAGAAAGAGGCTGTTACTTGCTTCCAGCGATCACAGCTCGGGAGGGGGTCCTTGGGAGGAATTTCAGAGGAAGGGAAGTTGAGAGTGAAATGTTCCCTAAGGTCCCATGTCCAATGTGAAGAATCTAAGACTCCCAAACTCAAAGTCTAATTCTCCATATGAATTTCTGAAATATCCTTTAAAAGTGATGGGCATCAAATTGGCTTTGTTCCTCCTGGGAGAACTGTGTATCACACTCTTCCCCCCCAAACTCTATACTGTTTATCAAACTCTTCTTTTTTTCTTTTTCTTTTCTTTTTGAGATAGGGTATTGGCTATGTCACCCAGGCTGGAGTGCAGTGGTGTGATTCGGCTCACTGCAACCTCTGCCTCCTGGGTTCAAGCAATTCTTCTCCCTCAGCCTCCCAAGCAGCTGAGACTACCGGCATGGGCCACTATGCCCAGCTGATTTTTGTATTTTTAGTAGAGACAGGGTTTCACCTGCTGTCCAGGCTGGTCTCGAACTCCTGACCTCAAGGGATCTACCCACCTCGGCCTCCCAAAGTGCTGAGATTATAGGCGTGAGCCAACACACCCAGCCTCATTAAACTCTTTATGAGAATGGCACAGGCCTTCACCAGGAATGGCAGATATTTGGTGCTTGGGCGGTCACCTCTTACCTTCTCCCACCTCTTCCTGCATTGTGCGGCAGCCACTGCTAACATACAGTATTACTCTTCCTTTTTGAGTCCCCAGATTCTGGTATTCTGGGCAGTTACTACCAGCTGCCCAGTTGAATAACTGGCCTTGATGAAATACAGAAGTGATTTCTTCTCAGCTATTTCTCCTGCCAGTGAGTATGGCCAGGCCCCTTCTTTAACGAGGCCAGTGTTCCTACAGCAATTCCTGACCACGTCTCTTTGGAACAGTACAACTAGGGTCCAGCTCAGATGCAGTGTAACTGCAAGGTGAAACTTCACCTTCTTCCTGGGCTCTGTGTCCAACAGGTGGCTGGGAAAGACGGCCAAAAGTACTCTTCTGGGAGGGGGGCAACCTTAGAGAAAGATGGACGGTACACAAGGATTTGTCTGACAATTTTTTCACATTATGGTCTGGAGGTTTATGAGGCCTGCAGTCATAGTGCTATTCGTTTCCTTCTGGATGCTTGGCCTAAAACAGGCTATATGTGGGTTACCCTCATCATGCCCCTGTGACCTGAACTTCAAAGCTTGCCACCAGCATGTTCAAAGGAAGAAAGTTTTCTGCCCACTCATTGGTCTTTCTAAAATAAAGAGACATTTATTACACCAACTACCAGGGATTTCAGACACACACAAATAGAATACGCCTGAAGGTAGGCAACAGATGACAAATTCAGTTGCTACACAGACATGGGTCATCAGCCGAGTGCAAGTACCTGAAAAATGCTCCGTCACCCAAATCCGGTCATCACTCTTGTTAGCAGACTCTCTTATCCAAGTCCCAAATGTCTCTGACACTTTCAATACTTGCACTGGGTTTCCAATGGAAGTGATCATGGATTCTGCCAAAAGAAGAGAAAAGAATGTCACTTACCAGTCAATTATGACTTGAAGGCATTCAGTTTCTAAATTTCAAAACAGGAGGCTTTGTTTCTGTACCTGCTTGTGGGGAATGTTCACTGGCTTTCTCATCAGCTTTTCCAACCAAGGTATCATCATTTGGTATGGCACAGGTCTCACCTAACATGACAACAATAATCATCAGAGCAAATGATGCGGTTGGCACAGTGAGATTTGTTGGACTTTATAGCTGCTGCTCTCCTCTACCTCATTCCAGATTCTTGTCTCATAAGCAACCCTTGCAATAGGTCACCAGATTCCTTGGTTGTTTGCTTTTAAGCAACTCTAAGCCATAGCCTTCCAAATTATCCCCCTGCTTGTTGAGTTCCCAAGAAGCTTTCCATGAGCACAGTTGCTAAGATAATACAATCCCAAAAGGATGTCAGTAAAAGTGACAAAGTGACCTGAGCCAGCCTGTTCAAGGCCTCAGCAATTTGGGGAAATGAGAGGCTTGTGGACATCTTCCTGGCCTGTCTGGCAGGTGGTGTCACTATCATGATTGCATTGTTCTGGAAGGATTCTCACTTTCAGGGAAGGTGGTGGAAGCTGTGAAGCAGCAGCCCCAGAGAATGGGGTGGCCCACTTTATGCAGCATCTTCCTGGGAGAGGCATCGGAGGGAAAACACAGATTTAGAGGAAGAAGTAATCTAGATTCCATCCAGCCCAGAGACACAGAAGTCCCCTCATGACCATTTCCCCACTGTCTCTAAGGGCCTAGAGAAACACCGGTCCTTGACAGGAGCCTGGTTCAGATTGGCTTGAGGCTGCCGCTGAGCTGTGATTCATCCTCCTCGGCTTGTCAGTGTTCCCCTTAATGAATGGGCTGAATTCAGACCTTTGGTGAAGCCGTGCCTTAGGGTGGCAGCAAGGCAGAGGGAAGTGTATGAACGTGGCCATGGACTGGATTGCAGGCCCACTCAAATCCTGAGGGGTTCAAATCACCTTGTAGTTGCTTGACGGAAAGGGTAATCTAAAGGGCTTCTTTATCAGTAAAATAAGGGGGCCCAACCCTCCATGACCTCTAAGCTTCCTTCTAGCTGGATAAGCCTGTGTTTCCCTGAAGTCCTTCTGTCATCTGATGAGAGTGGTCTCAGGGATCTGTTACGACTTCTCATGGGCAATCCTGCTGCCCCCAGGGTTTCAATGGGGCTTTCCATTTAGGGAACTACAGGGTATTAAAGACATGGAGTTGGAGCAGGAGGGAGGGCCAAGTTCAGATGCAAATGCCTGGCAATCAAAGACTCATTTCTAGGAGGCAGAGTGGAAGATAAGATAATGCCTCTCATTTAAAGCCATTTTCATGGCTCTGGGTCCAGCCCCTGCCGACCCAGCCCCCAGGTAGATCACGCCAAACCCAGGAGACGGCTTCTCCAGACAAGGGCTGTCACTGGCTGGCAGAGCCCGTGGCGAATTAGAATTCTGCAAAAGCTCGGGTCAGAGCCCTCTTCTCTCAGGGGAGGTCCCACTCAGCTCATTCTTCAAGGGAAGCTGAGCAAAGGGCTGGTACTGATGTCTGGGGAGGAACTGCAGGGCAGCCCAGCGGAAGAGTAGCTCTGCCCTGGTCTCACGTTGCAGAATTAGAATCAGCCTACACTGAGTCGGATAGGGGGATGGTGCCATCTTAGAAAGCACAGATTCGCCCACTTTACGACAGTTAACTGCATGCACCCAATTGTCTTCCAGAAAGAACAGTGCACCAAACAGAGCTCAAGACTGTTTAGGAAAATAGCAGCAATGGCCACAGCAAGGCTGAGAAATTCCAGTGAGGAGCCTCCTTACGAGTGCCATTGAGGAGATGGCTGCAGGTGGCCCTCCTCATGGTTTCAGTAAAGTGACAGATCCTAGGTCACTCCTTTTGGGAAGAAGTCCTAGCATCACCCTAGAAGTATTTTCTTTTAATAGAATCCTCGATTTCCAATTAGCTTTCAACCCTGTGGCCACTGTGCCACAAAGTGGTTAAAGAACACGTCCTCTTGGTCCAGCAGAGGTCAAGTGTTCCTTGCTCTTGGCTGGCTTGACCTTGGGTCAGGTCTCAGTGTGAATTTCTATCTAAATGGAAGATGCCCTGAGAGCTGGGTTTGAATCCTAGCTCTTCCACTTACTCCTGGAGGTACCTTGGGCAAGTTCCTTAGCTCTCTGGGAGCTAAGGAATAGGATAGTATCAGTTTTACTATCTGTAAGTTAAATGCAATAATGATTCCAATATCATAGGATTGTTGTGAGAATTAAACAAGCACATAGCCCCGTGCCTGGCTCATTGCAGCACCACTGTCTCTATTTGTGAGGACTTAACCAACCCAAACTTCCCCTTCATCTCCTGAGCATCAGTCAATCTTCTCACTTCCCAAGAGTGCAAAAAGTTAGCAGCTTAGCTTTCCAGACTGTTTCTGGGGGGAGGGATGATCTGCTCATCTGAGCCCCTGACCTATCCTCTGGTAAATGAAGGAAGCAGGATGAGGGAAGGGGAATGGGAAGCCTCATTCTAAAACTGTCCCTGGTCCTTAGCCTAGGGGCGGAGACCTATAAGACCTCCTATGAGAAGGCTGCAAGAAGGGGACTCTTATTTTGTACAAAACCCTCCTCCCTCTATTAAAACAAGTCTGGCCACAGAGCCTGGGGTGCAGACCAAGCATTTGGGATAACAGACAGAGGTGGCAGGTCCTGTGGGGGAGGGGTGGTCACCTGGGCACTGGCCGTTGAACATGTTTGGCTGCCGAGGGCCTTTGGCTCTTCTGCTTCCAGGGGGCCCTGGAGGACCTGGAGGGCCTGGGGGCCCAGGAGGACCGGGTGGGCCTTGGTCCCCTTTGGCACCTGGAGAGAGAGAGAGAGAAAGGGAGAGAAGGAGGGAAGAGGGAAGGGGAGAGAAGGACAAAGAAGGGGAGGGAGTGAAAGGGGAGAAAGGAAGGGAAGAAGTGGGAAGGGAGGGAGGGAGCGGGGATGGATGGAGGGTAGGGGAAAGGAGGAGTGGAGGAAGGGAAGAGGGAGATTGATTAAGGGGGCTCTAAATATGAGCACAGAGGACTAACGAGCACTGCCCTGGAGCCTCACTGAGCTACCCCTCCTGGAGGTGACTTACCCTGGCACTTGTCTTTGCCACGTTCAGGAACAACCTACAGTAGGTGCTGAGTACCAACTGCGTGCCAGAGACTGTGCTGAGAGTTTCACAGTCTTCTGTCATTCTTCCCAACCACACTGTGAGGTCATAGTGTTATCTCCTTAGAAACTGAGTCTTGGAGAAGTGAAGTGACCTGCCCAGGGCTACAGCTGAAGACAGCGGAAGCACAGCTTGAGGTGTGTGTCTCTCTGCAAAGCTCATCCTTTTTCTGTTGGCCAGTGCCTGTGTATCTGAACCCTGACTGCCTATTGGAATCACCTAAAAAGCCTTCATGAAATTTTAATGCTTGGGTCCCATCTAGCACCAGTCAAATCCGAATGTCTGTGGGGAGGTTGGTCCGCTATATCATCTGAAGCATCTTCATATGTAGACAGGTATGAGAAGCACTGCTCTGTGTGGTTGAAGAAATTAGGAGCCCGATAGGTTCCAGTTCTGTTCAGCTTCATGATCTTGGGCAGAGAACTTAACCCTTCTGAGCCCCTAAATTTCTTCATCTCCAAACTGAGTCTCACAATTCCTGCCCTGTCCTGTGGGAATCAGGGAGGCCACTGCTGTGAGTGCTTTGACAGCTGTAATCCCTACACACTTGCAGGCAGCCTCTCCTCTAACTTCAGGTGGCCAATGTGGATGAAGGCCCCAGAAGGGCTGTTGGTTCTGGAGCTTTTGCAAAGATGGCACTGGCTGGAGTGTTCAGCCCTTTGGTTCTCCCCTCCTGTCCTGAGCTGAGATTGGTCAGCTAAGGTCTCTTTAGCTGCTTCCTCACAGCCAGACCAAATAAGCCTTTTCAGTCTCTCTACAGCAGGCAAGTGGAGCCACAGAAGCTGGAAGCAGGGATCTGCAGGCAGAGCAGAAGAGCCCCAGCCTCCTACGCCCTCTCCACTCTCCTCCACGCCCTCTCCACTCTCTTCCAGGGGACATCCTCTGCCCTGACCTGGCCTTTTCAATTGGGGTTCATAAAGGATGGTGCTTTTCTGAAGGATTTGTCATCACCCCTCACTTGGTCAGCAGCATGGGGGAACATGGTACTCTGCATGTGTAGATTTCCTATGTAGCTGAAGTGTAACATAATCTTATATTTTTCAAACATATTTATGTATATTACTCTGTCAAAACCCCTCTTAAATTTTACACGTTTTGCATAGCAACATCCCCTGTTCATGAAACAAAATGTACTAAACTCAGTTCGATGTTTCCTCGGTGCTTTGGCCTAAGCACAGTGCCTGGTAAACAGCAGGCACTCAGTCAAGTCCCAGAGGGTGGATAGACGGTTGGATGGGCAACTGATTCCGGATCATTATTCTGAACACCTAGCATCCTCCTAGCTTCCTGAGGACAGATGTTATGTCTTACTCATCTCCAGCTACTAGGTAAGTCTCTGATTCAGAAATAATGTTCTCTGGTATTTGATAATTCTTTATTGTCTTCATAGTTATATTTATATTGTTGTATTTTTATCATATAGGTGATCTCCAAAGTACTGTGCTTCTAAAATTCTTCTGCCTCCTGCTCCTCCATGAGAGTCAGCTGTCATCTGCTCTTTCCCCTGTGCTATTGTCTTTCTGGCTTGTTGCCCCTTACCCTCTTCTCCCACAAACACCAACTATCTGCTTTTACCCTGGGATGGAAAAGCAGCCACTGTATTTGTAAGGGAAATGCCCCTGATGACAGTAACCGAAGTGTATCCTTAGAATGACTCTGTATGGCAGATGCATCTGAACGCGTGCTCAGAGCTGGGGAATCTGGGAGTTGCCAACCCAGAGCTTCATTACTTGTTTTGAGGAACATCTGAGCCCCTGACCCATCCCATGGAACGGGGGCCATGCAGGCAGTTGAGGCCCTGAGTTTTGAGTTAAGTGAAGGGTGCTAGGTGGAGGTGGTTAAGGGGAGGGTGCTGATGTAGTATGAATGTCCTGCTCAAATCTCATGTTCCCCAGTGTTGGAGGTGGGGTCCATGGGAAGTCTTTGGATCATGGGGGCAGATCCCTCATGAATGGCTTGCATTGCCCCCTTGGTAATAAGTGAGTTCTTGTGAGACTTGGTCATTTAAGTGTGTGGCACTTCACATCCCACTCTCACTCTCTCTTGCCCCTGCTCTTGCCATTGATGTGCCTGCTTCCCCTTCACCTGCTGCCATGATTACAAGTTTCCTCAGGCCTCTCCAGAAGCTGAGCAGATGGCAGCATCATGCTTCTTGTATAGCCTGCAGAACTGTGAGCCAATTAATCCTCTTTTTTTTTTTAAATAAATTACCCAGTCTCAGGTATTTATAGCATAGCAATGTGAGAAGAGACTAGTACAGGCATTAAGTGAAAATGCCCGGTAAATTGCATGCTGTTTGCAGGTGGCTGAGATTTTCCTGCTCAGCCCACTGCCCCTGGGCTGCAGGTAAGGCAGTTAGCTCACCCAGTCCACTGCCCTGGGCTGTTTTTGTCCTAAGGTGGTTCTCCTGTCCACCCCATTACCACTGGACTCTCTCCCCTGTACGAGGCCCCCAGGAAAGCCCCATGTAGCAGTTGCTGGCCCCGGGTCTCTTCTTTGGATTCTTGAGTCTGTTGCCATCCTTACTGAGGTTGACTGGGGCTTTGCACAACAATATTTTGCCCCAGTCCTATGTGAAAAGGCCATTAGGTTCAGGGCCTGAGGATGGCTCGACCTCAACAGCAAATGCTTGTGCTTCCTGTCAGTTGTCCTCTGAGGTATTGTAAGTTGCTTGCTTACTTGTCTTGTTCTGGATTGTGCTGGATTTCAATAGATACATGGAAAAGAAACTTCCTTCATTCCATTGAAGTCAACCATGGCTTTTCGACCCAATTACCTGAACCACTTATGCTTAGATCCCAGATCTGGTCTTGCCTACATGGAATAACATGCTCAGGTTTCTCCTCTTTGAAAGCATAGAACTCCAAAACATGCTGCAAAACAGATGGCTTCATAAGGCCATAAAGGAGAAAAGACACAGGAGCTGCCCTTGTGTTTGAAACCAGGTGGTTCTCTGGGCACGCATGTCCTCAGAGAGCCAGAGCGCGCCCGTCTTACCTGCTAGGAGCACATCGTTGGACACATCTCCTTTGTCTCCCTTTTCTCCCTTCTGCCCTGGTGGGCCCTCATTTCCCTGCAGGCCCAGTTCACCAGGGTCTCCCTTTTCTCCCCTTTCCCCTGGATTTCCTGCAGCTCCAGGTATCCCTGACCAAAAAAGACAAAAGACATATTAGCCTATTGTGCAAGAAGTTCAGCATACCACTTTATTGTACTTTGTGCTTTTTGGGGAAGCAGATACACCAAACGCACAGCTTTTCATAACCATTTTAGAGTAGCAGTGTGGCCATACGTTCATTAAAGAACAGCATTTCTGGGTGGCTTTGCTGGATTATTTATTTATTATTTTTTGAGATGAAGTCTGGCTCTGTTGCCTAGGCTGGAGTGCAGTAGCATGAGCTCAGCTCACTGAAACCTCTGCCTTCTAGGTTTGAGAGATTCTCCTGCCTCAGCCTCCTGAGTAGCTGGGATTATAGGTGTGAGCCACCACACCCACCTAATTTTTATATTTTTAGTAGAGACAGGGTTTCCCCATGTTGACCAGGCTGGTCTTGAACTCCTGACCTCAAGTGATCTGCCCACCTTGGCCTCCCAAAGTGCTGGGATTATAGGCATGAGCCACCACACCTGGCCTGCTGGATTATTTTCAGAGAAATTTGGCCGAGCCAACAGATCGGAGAGAGGAGTGAACGGCAAGAGGGGCGACAACAGCAACACTGGAAAGAAGGTCAGGAAGGGCCTAATGAGAAGTCTGCAACCATGCTGCTCGGAGGGGTGTGTCCACGGCCATAATAGTGGGAGTTAAATACATGAGTTTATTCCCCACAACATGTTGGAGTGGTAGTCTGGGCAGTCATCCTTACTCTCATCTTATAGGTGTTGAAACTAAGGCCTACAGTGGTTATAACAGATGCTGCCAAATCAGAGCAGCAAAGCAAATCTCTAATGCCCTTTTCGGTGACATTCCAATGCAAAACACTTTCAATCACAATAATACTTTCAATCACAATAGCAAAACAGGTAAAGTTTGCTTTAAGACAACCATTAGTAAGGATGGTGAGCAAAAGGTAGTGGGTGAAATTTCTGCCTGTGTTCACAGGGAGCTACGACTACAGGAACTGCTGTCCTCTGCACACTGCTAGTCAAGCTCTAAGTTACGGCTTGTATCAGCCTTGGACCTGGGCAGTGAAAGCACCCCCTTGGATTGTCCCAGTTCACTGCTGGGAGGTAGTTCCCAGTGGCACAGCGAGGAGGACCTCAAATAGCCTATCACTTTCACTAAGATGAGGAGCCAAACGTCAGAGTTTTAGGAGATGGAGGTGGCTAGAATTTGCAAGATAGAAGAGCAGAGAGGAGACAGCTGTGTGAAAGAGCCCTGCTGATCTGCAGAGGGCTCTCTTGAACCTGTGACTGAGGGATGACTTGCACATGTGAGGGAATTCGAGGGCTGGGAAAGGAATTCACAGACCATTCACTACACAATTTTGGGGGTTCACATAGTAAAAAGTTCTCATTCCCACTGCCAACATGGAGAAATCTCAAAACACTGAAATAACGGGTAGAGTCCTTCAAAAAGTCTAGTGTAGTAGTGAGGCTAACTTAGCCCCGGCTTAAAGGATGCTGTGGACCCATCATTACAAAGCTTCAAAACAAGTTTCTAAAGGACCAAACTTATCTGCAAATGATTTAACCGCTTGACTCTATGCTTGCTGAGAGTCCAAAATTCGAATCATTCAGTTCATGTAATTCAGCGTATTAGCAATTTAAGCAAGAAAAATTATATGATCATCTCAAGGATATAGAAAAGGCATTTGATACAATTTAGCACCCATTCTTAATTTGTCATCAAACTAGAAATAGAACTTCCTCAGTCTGCAAAAGGGCATCTACAAAAAACCTACAGCTAGTGTCATCCTTAATGACGAAAAACAATGTTTTCTCCCTAAGATCAGAAACGAGGGTATCTAATCTCATCACTTTTATTTAACATCCTACTGAAGGTCCTAGCCAGAGCAATAATGCAAGGAAAAATAACTAAAAGGTGGATAGATTGGGAAGGATGGATGATGACTGTCTTTATTTGCAGATGTCATGAGTGCTTATGTAGAAAATCTCAAGGAATCTATAAAAAGGCCACTAGAACTCTTAATTATACAGTTATACAGGGTCCCTGAGAGGGGAAGTTAATTATCTAACATTGTACAAAGCTATTGCCAGATATGGATCAATTAACATGATACTCTATCTCAGGGAATATGTGCTCATTTTAACAACAGCTTGTTGGAGATATTACTCAACAGAGGTATTGCCCAAGTGGCAGAGATTTCAGTGATGGGGAGGTTAGCAAGTCATAATACCCTTCAGTTTATACCCAAATGCCCTGCACTGCCATCAGATTACTTATTCCCTAAAACAGCAGTCCCCAGCGTTTTTGGCACCAGAGGCTAGTTTTGTGAGGACAATTTTTCCATAGACGAGGATGTGGGGAGAGATGGTTTTGGGATGATTCCGATGCCTTACACTTATTGGAGCTTTATTTCTATTACTACACTCTAATATATAACAAAATAATTATACAACTCACCATAATGTAGAATCAGGGGAGCCCTGAGCTTGTTTTCACACAACGAGACAGTCCCATCCGGGGGTGATGGAAGACAGTGACAGATCACCAGGCATTAGATTCTCACCAGGGCTTGCACTCCTATGAGAATCTAATGCCACTGCTGATCTGATGGGAGGTGGAGCTCAGGGGTAATGTGAGCACTAGACAGGGGCTGTAAATACAGATGAAGCTTCACTCAGTTGTCTGCTGCTCACCTTCTGCTGTACACCTGGTTCCTAACAGGTCATGGACCGATATGGGTCTGGGGGTTGGGGACCCCTACCCAAAACATAAACCTGGAGCTCTTAGCACCTTTCATTTACTCTAGAGGAGTAATAAATAATCAAAATTGTTTCTGCTCTTCCATATTCATATTCATATCCCATATTCAAGGAACTATCCACAGATTATTCTAAGGAAGACAGCAGTGCATGAAAAAGCCTCAAAGTGTTGATCACTGTTAGAAGAAAACTGTAGTGAACAAAAATCATTTGCTAGATTTCAACCAACCAATAGAAAACCTTTGTGAAAACCATGAAATTTAGCTACATCTGGGAGTCAGAAAACCTGGGGTCCTCACCGCTACCAGTGGTAAGCTTGGGTGGTGGCTGCCCGTCCAGTGGAAGATGATGTGAAGAGGAGCAGGGGGTCTCTTCATTGTCAGCACTGGCTCTGCTATGGATTCAGGGGTCAAATTGTGCCTCTTTGAGGGGTCATCAGTTGTAATGCCTTCCTTAAAACAGCACCAAAAATCCATTGCACTGGCTCCCCCCAGCCTCAGTCATCAGGCCATTTGGCTGGAAAATGGTTTACTCACTTGAAAGGGGCCCTTCTGCCAGGCCCTCTGTGTGAGAAGACGTTCTTTTGTCAGTTTTAAATAGGCAATTTGGCACTTTATCTGAAGGAGATAAAAGATGAGGGCATTGCCATAGAGTCCAGCCCGCACAATGCACCAAGTGTAACTCACACCTTCGAAAGGTCTCACATGACCCAGATTTAGCAGTGCTCAGGGAAATGGTATCTGCTGGTTACCGCAGGGACATCTTTTTCAGGCATTTATTAAAGTCACAAACAGCCTTCTGCATCATCTGATTTCTCCTTCCTTTCTTTTATTCCTTCCTCTTGTCTTTTCTTTCTCGGAAAGGCCATATGTGAAATAGGGAAATGTGCCTGCTCTCGGGCAGCTGTTGTAATGCAGCCCCTACAGGAGCAGGTATTTAAAGCTCTTCAAGGTCTTTGCTTAAGGCTGTATTTTGACTCCAATTGGGGAAGGCATGATCATTTTTTAGCTTTCATTAAGAAAGTGTTGGGGACATTTAATCTGCATAGAGTTTGCCTTTGCCCTCTTGTCCACCATGGCACTGACAAAGCATCCCCTTGTCTTTGTTGGTAAAATTGCCCTGGCTGTGCTTTGGCTGTGGTATGTCGGAAATGAAATACCACCTAATCGTGATTCACCACCAGGATCCTACGTGTGGCATTTTTCACCCTGCCCTGGCCCAGTGAAGGTCAGGGATGCTGGCTGTGCACAGTGGCAGCTATGACACGATGCGATCTGGACCCCTGGCTGGCTTTGAGTCAGCACTTTCTGCCAGAGAAGGAAGGCCCAACTCTGCCTGCCTAACTTGTGCTACGAGTGGCTTGCTGGCATTTCTTTTCCCTGGTGTCGCCCACTCAAAACAAACAGTTTCATTAGCATTTGAGTTTGGAGTTGTGTGATATCTCTGGGCTGAGGTCGACTCTCGTCTTCACAGTAGGGGGTGAGGGAGGAGGTTTTATTTTCGGCAGTATCATCTGTTGCTGACTAAGACGGGGGAAAGGGGGCTGGAGGGTGTCACACAAAACCCAGTCCTGAGACACGAATAAGGAGGAGGGCTTTCATTTCTGTTTTTATAAGAATTTGATTTTTAGAGAAGACTCTGCAGCACTAACTCGTAAGTGAGAAAATGAGAGGCAGATGGAAGGAAAGAGAATGCTTGATTCTGAGGCAATGGCATGTCATACTTCATAGACGATGCTGGCTGCACAGTTGACAACATTTAGGTTTCTTTCAGTTCTGACTCTTCTCTTCAAATCTAAGTGGGTGTTTCCAAATGAATACAGAACGCTTCAGTTAGGTTTCCTTTTGGTCTAAATAAAGTTTCTCCTTCCCCACTTTTGAAAACAACAACAACAATAATAATAGCTAACCCCAGTATAGCACTTACACTGTGTCACATCCTCTTCTAAGCACTTTATGTGTACATATATATGTGTGTGTGTGTGTGTGTATATATATATATATATATATATACACACACACACACACACACACACACGAACTCATTTAATCTTCCTAATAACACTATGAGCTTAATACTATCAGTGTCCCCATTTTACAAATAAGGAAATTGTGGCACAAAGTGATGAAGTAACTTATCCAGGGGCATACTGCTAGTAAGCAGAAGAGCCGGGACCCAAACCACCTGGCTCCGCTCTTCCACCATCATTCTTAGCTTTTCTAAGGTCAGAACCTGAGAAGCTTTGATGTGTCAATCTTCTA